GAGCCATAGCCCTGGGTTTTATTCTTGGCTCTGCTGCCTATAAACTGTGTGCCCTTGGACATGTCTACTTTATCTCTCTGACCCTTAGTTTTCTTATCTGGGTCCTTTAACTCAGGGTCTCTTACTGTAATAGAGCTGTCAGCCAAGGCTTCAGTCTTCTCCAATGTCAACTGGTGGAGGATCTTCCAAGCTCATTTAAATGGCTCGCTGCCAGCAGCTGCCTTAGAGGAGGACTGAGGGCTTCAGTTCCTCATCTGGTATTGGCAGAAGGCCCCACTCAATTCCTTGCCCCAGAGCCCTTTGCAGAGCAGCTGACAATATGATGGCTAGTTTTATCAGAGTGGTGGCTCCAAAAGAAAGGAGCCAATGGGGGGAAGGAGCCATAGTCTTTTATAACCTAATCTCAAAAGTGATCTCACTTTGGCTGCATTCTGTTTGTCAGAAGCAGTTCACTAGGTCCAGCTCATTCTTAAGGGAATGAGATTATAGAAGGGCACGAGCACCAGGAGATTTTGGGGGATCCTGTTTAAAGGCTGCTTCCCACAGCCTCCATCTAGTTAGGAGTCCCTCTTTGCCTAGAACCATCTGAAGTCCTCTAACTCTGATGGTTCCTCCACTCCTCACTTAGAATGCCATATTTCCACATTGGTTTCTCGCTTGAATATTAAGTAAAGATTGTGATGAGTCCAGCATGGTGAATAGTGGGCTCCACCTATACCTTTCCTACCAGTGGGTGTGCAGGTCTAGCCTGTGGGTGGCATCTGGCTCTATCCAGGTTCCTTTGTACCTCCTCGAAGCTTCTTGTGGACTGAGTGTGGTACGGATGGCAAAGTGGGTGAGGCCTCCCCTAGATGTAGTGTCATAAACTTCACAGAGGCCGAAGTGGTTGTCTCAGGTTGTTCCTTTGTTCTGGTGGCCTAGGAGCCTGGTCAGCCTGGAGTGCAGCATTGTTGAATGGCTCAGTGGTCTTCACTTCTTCCACACACGTTCCCTACTATAGCTCAGGGATGGAGACAGCCCCTCATTCCTCAACGAGACCCCGAGGCCCCGCATGTCCACCTGTACCTAACAGAGCATCACACCTGTAGGCAGTCTTGTTTCCACTTGACACTGTTAATCTAGAGTAGTCTTTCCAGAGCACCATTGTCATCGGGTTGCTCCTCCACCTCAGAGACACTCACGCTTTGTCAACTGGTTAAAATCCATGCGCTCCGTGTGGCATTGTCCTAGCCCATTCATGATTCCCTGTAAATTAGGTTACTACCTGACAGGACTCCTGTGTGCTTCCAGGTTGCCTGTGCTTTCAGTGTCCCTTGCTCCTCCAGCTGCCCTCCTTGCCCCTCTCTCACCAATCCTTCCCTCTCCTCACGGCTCTGCTCCCCTGGCTATAACCCTGCCAAATGCTCTTCACTGGGAGGGAGTTGCATGTCTCAGCCCTCTGGTCACTTACATGCCGTTGTAAGCTCTTTAAGGGTTGTGCCATTCTGCCTAGAGTGTGAAGCCCTAGGCAGACACAACGCCTGTGCCTCTTCATGTTTTCCTTAGGGCTGTCAGGGTCAGATAAAGTGATGTGCTTGACTGTTTATTGGTGATGTTGCTGTTCATGTCTGCTGTCACTGTTTGATATACCTGTGTGTGTACACGTACGAATGTGGAATGCATATATACCTTAGTGCTGCAAGTGGATGTTGTTATTTCTCTTTCACAGTGAGGAAATTTAAATCAGAGAACTCAGAAATGTTTCTAAGCCATATATTTGGAGAGCTGAGATTTAAAACTAGGTCTTTTGATCTTGCAAAACATGGATGTTGCAAATAGCAAAACTTGGATCAGTAAGACCAGCTACGTCCTTTTGGGAGCTTATGGTCTGCTGTCTGGTCAGCAGACATGTTCAGTAAAGGGCTTGATAGTAAATATATTAGGCTTTGTGAGCCGAACCCTCTCCATTACAACCACTAAATTCTGCCATGGTCACATGAAAGCAGCCACTGCCGGTGGCAGTGACTGGGCGTGGGTGTGCTCCTGGATTTAGAGAAGCAGGTGCCGAGCTGTGACATGGCTTGTGGGCCATAGTCTGCTGACACCTGTCTCAGTGCTTTGCTAGCAGGTTCCCTGTGATGAGTTGGACCCATGCCACTTCTTTCTTTATTGACCTGACCTTTCTGCTCCCTCTTCCATTTCCTCTGTAGTATGTCGGTGCTCCAGTGGCTTACATCCAGCAGATATTTGTGAAGGCCTCTGTGTTTCCCTGGCACAAGAACCTCCTGGCGGTTGATGTGTTCCGCTCGCCCTTGTCCCGGGCATTCCAGCTGGTGGAGGAGATCCGGAACCATGTGCTGCGAGACAGGTACTCATCGCAGGGACTCCAGGCTCCCTGGAACCTGTTCTGTGCTGAGGGGGTCACAGTGCTCAGTGGGACTCCAGGTCTGTGAAATAGAACAAGCAGGCGGAATACAGGAACAAGCAGGGTGAGCCAGCCTCAAGTCTCATTGTCCTTGTGGCCACTGTGGCTGCATCTCTCTTCTGGACTGTGCCAAGGGCACAGAGAGAGCTCTGAGCTTCCTTCTTGCATCTCAGAGTCAGTGTCCACTGGCTGACTCCAACATGCTGACTGAGAACTGGCTGGTGGGACCCATGTGGCTTCCTGTCTATGGGCTGTGAGATAGGAATATAGTGGGGGCAGCTCTGCTGACAAGAAGCAAACTCTACCTGGGAACACCTACTGAAGCCACGGTCCAAGTTGTGCTCCCAGCCTATTGGTAGGTCTCTGGATTATCCTGGCTTCACAGGCTGCATCACTGCCAGGTTTCAGTTACTTAATCGTATTGACAAACATTTGGTGAACTAACCAAAGCCCCTGATTTTCACCCCATTCTCACTCACTGAATTAGCCAAGGTGTTTTAGTGGGTAGTGCTATACCTGTTCCCATAATGCCCACACTTGCCTCTCCTCAGGGGTGATGGACTTTTGAGCACTTTGAAGGTTAGGCAGCTAAACGATACTTTCAGTGTTGTTGACCACTTGGAAGTACTTTCCCTACTGCCCTAATCATCAGGCTCTTCAGAGATACCAGGGAGTAGATATGGAGCATTGAGGAACCTGATGACTGAGGGTTTCCCATAAGTGGAGTGGGTCTTTACAGTGGTGGCAGACACAACAGATGCCTTGTCCTGTCGCCTATACAGCTCTGGGACCAGAAGCCTGGAGGAGGTGTGCTTACAGGTAACTGACCTGCTGCCAGGCCTCAGAAAGCTCCGGAACCTACTCCCAGAACATGGATGCTTGCTGCTGTCCCCCGGGAACTTCTGGCAGAATGACCGGGAACGCTTCCATGCTGATCCTGACATCATCAGGACCATTCACCAGCATGAGCCTAAAACCTTGCAGACTTCAGCCACACTCAAAGGTAGCCTCAGCACAGGTTTCCTAAGGACCTGAAAGGATGCCTATTGGTCACTCACCCCATTCTCTGAAGGGGCAGATTAGGGTTTATTCCTCATTTCCAAGACTGATGGTGGAGAGGGATCCTTGGTGGCTCTGCAGTGGCTGTCATTTCTTTGTTAGTACCTGCTGGTTTCTACCCTCAGACCTGCTGTTTGGTGTTCCTGGGAAGTACAGCGGGGTGAGCCTCTACACCAGGAAGAGGATGGTCTCATACACCATTACATTGGTCTTCCAGCGCTATCATGCCAAGTAAGGCTTACAGTGCCCTGGGTTCCTCACTGGTCTGTGGGGAGATGTGAGGCTTTGAGTGGTCCCTGTTGTAGTTAGTGTGTTCTCAGAGCTCTCTGGGAACTTGAAGAGTTTCCAGGCTTCCTGTTGAAATGCTGATATACCTTAGACTAAAGGATGCTGTCAGCTCTGTTTATTTATTTATTTATTTATTTATTTTTGAGACAGAGTCTCAAGCTGTCATCCTGGGTAGAGTGCCGTAGTGTCACAGCTCATAGCAACCTCAAACTCTTAGGCTTAAGCTATTCTCTTGCCTCAGCCTCCCAAATAGATGGGACTGTAGGCACCTGCCACAATGCCTGGCTATTTTTTATTGTTGTTGTTGCAGTTGTCATTGTTGTTTTAGCAGGCCCAGGCCAGGTTTGAACCTGCCAGCCTCAGTGTATGTGGCCGGTGCCCTACCCACTGAGCTACAGGCAGCACCCTGTCTGCTATGTTTAAATGGGAATGACCTGACAGCTGGTTAGCATAAGGGACTGAAGCAGGGCTGGCAGTTTCAATGTCCTGTTACAGGCTTGGCACCTGTGGCTCAAGAGGCAAAGGCGCTAGCCACATACACCTGAGCTGGCGGGTTCGAATCCAGCCCAGGTCCGCCAAACAACAATGATGGCTGTAACCAATAAATAGCTGGGTGTTGTGGCGGTCACCTTTAGTCCCAGCTACTTGGGAGACGGAGGCAAGAGACTTGCTTGAGCCCAGGAGTTGGAGGTTGCTATGAGCTGTGATGCTATGGCACTCTACCCAGGGTGACAGCTTGAGGCTCTGTTTCAAAAAAAAAAAAAAATCCTGTTATGGACCTCTTCTGATCTCTCTTGAGCCTAGGGCAGGTGTCCCTAGCTGACTACTGAGCCCCATGTGGCCTGAGTCTTTCCCAGTGGAGCAGTACAGGCAGCTCCCCATGTTGGCAAGAACATTTGAAGTGTTCCAGATGGAGTGGTGTAATATGTTGGCAAAGGGTGACTGAGAAAGAAGCTGGGGGAACTCCTGAAATAGTCTTTCCATATTTGTAATTCTTCCACTGTCCCTGGAGACTATAGAGAAGCTTAGACACTACAGAGAACTTTGCTTCCTCTCTACGAGGGAGGGGAGGGAGGCCCTAATGGACCCTTCTTCCAGGAATAGTCTTTGTTCCCTGAGCTAAGAGAGATACTCCATCTACTCTCACTCCCCTTTGTGACCAGGTTCCTGGGTAGCCTGCGTGCCCGCCTGATGCTTCTGCATCCCAGCCCCAACTGCAGCCTTCGGGCAGAGAGCCTGGTTCACGTGCACTTCAAGGAGGAGATTGGTATCGCCGAACTCATCCCCCTTGTGACCACCTATATCATCTTGTTTGCGTACATCTACTTCTCCACACGTAGGTCCATAGCAGGGAGGCTGGGGGCTTTCTCTAAGCTAAATAATGGGCATTTCCACATCCCCTGCTCCCCTGCCTCTGGAGGTGGCTTGGGGCAGAGAGGTAGAATAGGGTTTGTAGTCACCAAAGCTTCATCCCTCTGCAGAGTCTTAAGGGCTTGGATGGGTCCAGGGTTCTTCTCATTTCTCAGGAAAAAACCCTTCCTGGGTTAGGGTTCCCAAAAGGTAGACCATGTCCATGACACTGGGAAGTGTTCTTGGTTGTCCCTTTCTTTGGTTAAACCAGGAACTTTCCCTTCTTCAATTGTCAGAATACACTCTACTTCCAGAAGCTCAGTTAAGAAAGGCCCATGTGGCCCATGGGCTGGAGGAGGTGCTGCCCTGATGTGCCCTCTCTGCTCTCCAGGCAAGATCGACATGGTCAAGTCCAAGTGGGGGTTGGCCCTGGCCGCCGTGGTCACGGTGCTCAGCTCACTGCTCATGTCCGTGGGGCTCTGCACACTCTTCGGCCTGACGCCCACTCTCAATGGCGGGTAGGTCTCCAGTAGGCTACACTGGGTCACAGGGTGGGCCATCCAGCCAGAGAACCTTGCACATCTGGGCACTTGGCCTTCTCAGTACTGGATGCTTGCGGTCATTCCGTGTCTTCACAGTGTTATTTTTGACAGTTAAGAGGTACATTTTCTTCCTCTTTAAGTTACCTGGCTTATATTCATACATACATGTGTATGTGTTTATGCATATATAGGTGTGTGTCTGTATGTACATACATGTATTTCTAGGCTTATGTAGGGGTGTATGTGTCTACGGGGTATGTGTTCGTGTGTATAAGTATGTTTCTATGTATATGTGAGTATGTATTCATGTATGTGGGTATGTACTTGTATGTTTATATGTTGTAAATTATACATGTACACGCTTCTTGATTGCTTGAGCCACAGAAAGTGTGAGAAAGAGAAGGCACATTTTTTTCTTTTTAGCAATTAGAACATTAGAATGCCTTGGTCAGTGAATGAACTGGTCATTTTAGAGTAAGTGTTTTGAAATATATGCATACACTGTAATTTGTTACCTTTTGCACTGATATTTACTCCCCTTGCCATTCCTCTCTTAGTCTGGAAGCCCTTCTCTGGGTTTGTCCTCAGAGGCTTTGATCTCCTTGGCTCTGGCTAGGCCCTGCTGCCTGTCACTGATTACTAACCAACTGGCCTGACCACCACCTTGGCTCATCAGGCTAGTTGTAGGATAAGTGACTTTGTGTTTTATTTGTTACTTTCCTTGCTCACAGAATACCTGAACCTAACAGTGTTAAACACTGCTCCTCCCACTTGCCCCCCACCACCACACTGCCTGCCGAACCCCCCTCAGACCCCTCACTTCCTTTGCCTCTTCAGCAGAGATCCTGGCAAGCTGTAACTCAGTGGGCATTCCTTGTGCATAGGCTTCTCTCACAGTCTGTTACTGGTAGTGTGAGACAGTGGGCTCAGATAGCTAGTAGAGTTTTCTTTAGGAACAGTTGCTCTACACACGCAACTTCTCGATCCAGGTGAGTAGATCTCTAGGGTGGTTTCATCCGCTTCCAGTTAGCTGTGATGAGTTGGCCTGGAGTTACTTGCTGTGGGTCTTTGTAGCAGTCATTTTCCTTCAGCCAGCAGAGTCTGGTGTGGGAAGGGCCAGGAGACCTGAGGTCTGGTGGCAGGCAGCAAATCTCTCTATAAGGGGCCTCTTCCAGTCCTTCTCCCATGCTGGCTCAGTGAAGATGGAGATGGTTGCTGGCCCCTTAACAAGGCTTTGGGGCCTGCCTGAAAGCTGAGAACTATGTAGACACAGCCCCTGTGAAGGGCTAACGGCAGGGCTTCTCCCCTGTGTTTGGTAAGTGGTGAGGAGAGGGTTTCTGCCTTGTGCCTGTGGGGGTCAGTTTCCACTATAGGCTGGAAACCTGACAGCCTCCCTCTCACAACATTGTCCCTTGCCTTCTTCTCTGTCCCCAGAGAGATTTTCCCCTACCTTGTGGTGGTTATTGGGTTAGAGAACGTGTTGGTGCTCACCAAGTCAGTGGTCTCCACCCCAGTGGACCTCGAGGTGAAGCTGCGGATTGCCCAAGGTAACACAGTGGGAAAGTGGGGAAGGGATGTGATAGGGCTTAGGGAAGGACTTGTTCTCTTGCTGTTGTGCTCCTTGAGGTAACCAGGGAGACACCCAAACCTCCTTTGTCTTGGCCTCCAGTGTAATATGCGGTGGGCCACTAGGCCCTGGCAGCTTGGTAGCACATACCCTGAGCAACCGCAGGGTTACCAGGTTGTACCACGTCTTGATCATGTGTCAATAAGAAAGCAAACTGTGCCAGGTATGGTGGCTCGTGCCTATAATCCTAGTACTCTGGGTGGTCAAGGTAGGAAGATCACTTGATGTCAGGAATTTAAGACCAGCCTGAGCAAAGCAAGACCCCCATCTTTACTAAAACTAGAAAAATTAGCCAAGCGTTATAGTGGGCTTCTGTAGTCCCACCTACTCAGGAGGCTGAGGCAGGAAGATTGCTTGAGCCCAGGAGTTTGAGGTTGCTGTGAGCAAGGCTGAGGCCATGGCATGCTAGCCCAGGCAATAGAGCAAGACTCTGTCTCAAATAAAAAGCAAACTTAACTCTGCTGTGGGGCTCCTGTTTGGTGATGGCTTTCTGTCTGGCTAGTGCTTAGCGTTTTTTCTTCTTGCCTTATTACAGCACACAAGGTCCAGGCCTCTAGGAGTGGTCACTTCAGAGATGCTCCTTCCACAGTTGTCAGAAAAGCCTCCTCTAGCCTTGCTAGTGGGAGCTGAGGATCTGGGGTACTGGGAAAAGTGAGAAAAGAGAAAACTTAGTCCTGGAGGTCTGGTTTCTTTCTTTTTTCTTTTCTTTTATTCTCTTTTCTCTTTTCTTTCTCTGACTTTGTTGCCCTTAGTAGAGTGCTGAGGCATCACAGCTCACAGCAACCTCAAACTCTTGGGCTTAAGCGATTCTCTTGCCTCAGCCTCCCAAGTAGCTGGGACTACAGGCACCTACCACAGTGCCCATCTATTTTTTTGGTTATAGCTGTCTTTGTTGTTTAGCAGGCCTAGGCTGGGCTCAAACCCGCCAGTCTTGGCGTATGTGGATGACGCCCTACTCAGTAACCCATGGGCGCTAAGCCAAGGAAGTCTGGTTTCTTTTTCTTTTCTTTTTGAAGTCTGGTTTCTTAAACCACCTTCTCCTCACCCCATGTCTGTGAGGAATGGGGCTAGGGGCGGGCTATTCATTCAGCAAACCTTCATGAGCTTCTGAGATAGGCTAGGCCCTGTGCTGGATGTGGAGTTAGGAAGAACTGAGGTGAAATGGACTCTACCCACTAGGAGCTCAGAGCCTTATACATGGAACAGTGTGACTGTATGAAGCCAAGGGGCTCACCATGGGGAGGGGCTTGAGGAAGAATGCAGCCAGTTCTCCCATACCGTGTGCTGGAGGGCACACACTCATGCTGGCCCCCGCAGACTAGACGAGAGCAGCATGTGGAGGTTGGATCCGATTAGAGTGGATGCACTTGGGTTTTCTCCCCTCCACACCCTGCTTCTCCCTTCTGATGGGTATAGCTCTCTGCTGTACCTTCAAGTCTCAAAACACCTTGTTCCCCATAGCACCTTTGTGGTGGTGGCAACACTTTGGATTTGAGCCCTGCAGGTTGGGATGCTTTGGAGGAATGGCTGCCTCAGAGTCCTGGGCACCCTTCCATGCCTCTGCCTTTCTGAGGACCACGTGATTCTGTGCAGACACATGGCAGAGGGAGGTACTATGCTACTCCCATCCTCTGTGGTTACCCTCTGCAGGCCTAAGCAGTGAGAGCTGGTCCATCATGAAGAACATGGCCACGGAATTGGGCATCATCCTCATTGGCTACTTTACCCTAGTGCCTGCCATCCAGGTAAGGCCCCAGTACCTCCTTCTTGGATAAGTTTAGAACCATCTGGTATGCTCCCCAGCTGTGCAGCTATGGGCAGGTATATCCCTCTTTCAACATAGGCAGTCTTTCCTATGAGACAGGACTTCCTGGCATGCCTGGCTCGGAAGTGTCAGAAAATGCTGGCTGGGTTCCAGGATTGAGCACCTAGCCAGGCAGGCTCTGCCTTAGGCCCTGTCCTCTTTCCCATTCAGCCAAGTAGCAGGAGGAGGCTCTGAGGGAATGACAGAGGTTGAAGGCTGGCTATATAGTTCCAGTCAGGCCTGGTTTCCCATTGCTCAGGGAGAAACACCATGGGGCCCCTCAGCTGATATCTCTCATCTTTCCTCTCTTGCATGTGGCCTACAGCCACAGCCTCCGGACATGTGGCCTTGGAGGGCTACCACCCGTTGCCCACAGTAGCCCCTGCTCTTGGCAAAGTGCCCTCACTCAGCTGAGGGTCAGTGACAGTGGCTCTGCACTGAGTTGGAACCCCAGACTGTTATTGACTATGCCAAGAAGCAAAAAGGGGAGGATGCCATCTTCTTGTCGCTTATCCTCCCTCATCTTGGGCTGGCAGGCCTGCTGAGGGGTGGGGATGAGCAGAGAGCAAAAGGGATCCATGCATTTCCTCCTGGGAAAAGAGCAGTGTCTGCAGGACAGGGTGCAGTCTTGGGACACTAGAACTGACGTGACTGCTGTGATACTTCCTGGTACATCCCATTGTCTTACCCCAGATCTGAGTAGCAACTGTGGTGATGTGCCGGAAGGCTCATAGAGAGCAGGGGAGGAAAACTGAAACTTCAGAAAATTCCATCTGTTAACAGAGCTTGGGGAGCAGAGAGGTTGCACTTCTTTTCAGTTTCAGGGAGAATTAATCCCTCCTGCCCTTTTCTTTCCCTTAGTTCAGTGGTTCTCAATCTGTGGGTCGTGACCCACAGGGACTGTATTAAAGGGCCATGGCATCAGAAAGGTTGAGAACCACTGCTTTAGTTGGTCTGATGCAAGGGCTGGCCAGGAATCTTTCTGAGAGCCCCCAAATCAGGTCAGGCCTAGGCTCTGGCTAGGTTGGTGGTACATGAGCAGGGCCAGGGCCTCAGTGGGGGAACGCTTTTTGAGGAGGAGCTGGTAGGTCTTAGAAGTTTCATCCTCACCCCTTTAGTGAACCCAGAAAATTCCTAGAGAGCTCCTACTCTTCATACCTTCTCTGGAAGAAGGTGTGAGGGGAGTCTCTGCCGCCTCCTGGTAGTTTGGGCTGAGCTGCTGGTACTGTCCCTTGGCTACTCCCAGGTTCCAGAGAATTACTAGGATCTCTTTTGTTTATCTCTGCGGTGCCCTGCAGTGATTCAGTGGTACCTGCAGCCAGGGCACTGCTTCTCTAGGGCTCAGGGCCAGGGGGTCATAGTGCCCTGCTATATGCTCCAATTCCAGGAGTTCTGTCTCTTTGCCGTTGTGGGCCTGGTGTCTGACTTCTTCCTTCAGATGCTGTTTTTCACCACTGTCCTGTCCATTGACATTCGTCGGATGGAGGTAGGAGTGGGCTGAGCCCTGCCCTGCCCACCTTCCTTCTCACCCCTGCCTGTGCTCAGGGAACCTTTGGGTGAGAGGGTATAGACCTCAGGCATGTGCAGTGGCAGTCTCTGGACAGCAGACTCAAGCCCCAACCATTGCATCCCTAACAGCTAGCGGACCTGAACAAGCGGCTGCCCCCTGAGGCCTGTCTGCCCCCAGCCAAGCCAGTGGGGCGGCCAACACGCTATGAGCGGCAGCTGGCTGTACGGCCATCCACACCCCACACCATCATGCTGCAACCGTCTTCCTTCCGAAACCTACGGCTCCCCAAGAGGCTGCGTGTCATCTACTTCCTGGCCCGCACCCGCCTGGCACAGCGCCTCATTATGGTACCTGCCACACCTGCCCTGCTTTTGCCCTTTTCTGGAGGGCTAGCACTCAGGTTCCTTTGTGGTGGTGTACTCTGCCTTGAAGTGGGGAGAGGGCAATCCTCAGGCACCTGGTGGCATCTTGAAACCGGGCTTTGAGAAGTTTACCATTGTGCCTCCTTCCCCACAGCCCAGTGGTTTTTAAGGAGACAAACTTCTCTGTGGGAGAAGCAGCTCCAGGTTCATCAGATAGAGGTGCTATTGTCTCCCCAGGACAGGAGCCTGCTAGATAGGCTGCTCCAAGATGGAATCATCTGTTGCCACCACATTTCCCTGGGTCAGGGTTCATTGGCTGCTTCAAAGTGGGCAGGCATTAGAACATGTTGGACATGGTTGGTCACCAGTTGAGCTGGGCTGGGCTAGTTGGTGGGCAACAGTGTCTCTTCTGGGGAGTTGAACTGAGAGGGGAGGGAGGTTGAATATCTGGGGACTAGGACCTCTGTGGTCTCTGGAACAGGGCAGGCAGCTGGCCCTCTGACCACAATGACCATGGTAATGGTACCAGCTTTCTGCCCCAGATGAGGTGGAGGTTAGGGAATGTATTTCCAGGCCAGGAAACTCACCCCTGACCAGGAGAAGGGAACCAGGCCTCTCCAATGGCAAGTGTTTGCAGGTGGTGGGAGGGCTTGAGGGCCTGAGGTCCCTGTGCTACCGACTCCTAGCATGAGGGCCAGGGTCGCTGGGGGTTGGGGCTGTCCATTCTTCCCAGGGTCCTGAGTACCCAACACTCTACTGCAGGCTGGCACTGTTGTCTGGATTGGTATCCTCGTGTACACAGACCCAGCAGGGCTGCGCACCTACCTCACTGCCCAGGTGACAGAACAGAGCCCACTGGGTGAGGGTGCCCTGGCTCCTATGCCTGTGCCTAGTGGTGTGCTTCCTGCCAGCCACCCGGACCCTACCTTCTCCATCTTCCCACCTGATGCCCCTAAATTACCTGAGAACCAGACATTGCCAGGTGAGCCTCCTGAGCATGGAGGTCTGGCAGAGGGTGTCCATGACAGCCCAGTCCCAGAGGTAACCTGGGGGCCTGAAGACGAGGAACTTTGGAGGAAATTGTCCTTCCGCCACTGGCCAACACTCTTCAGCTACTATAACATCACACTGGCCAAGAGGTAAGTTGGGCCATGCTAGTTGCCACCAGCTCATCATCTCCTTTCCCTAACAGT